CCACGCTTGCTTTCTAATTGCTGTGCCCTGGTGGCCCGGCTCGTCCACCAGGCAGGCCTTCCCTTTTTCCTAACAGCTCTATGCGGTGCAAATTCCTCAGTGAGCCGCCCGAGCTTCTCCTTGAAGAGCTGCCAACCCTCCTCAACGCTCCCATACGGCACGTTCCATTCCAGTCTTTCAGCCACCTCGAGCATACGCATTTTATTATAGGCCATTGTCAGCTTTGGTGGGGCACATCTATGACACCTAAGATGGTGAAACGCAACGCTCAATGGTCACTCCGCCCAAGTGGTGCTGTGATCCTCAAGCAGTTGACCTTGCTGGAATGTTTCGTGATCACCAAGTCCAGAAGCCCAGGGTTATTCCATGCCCACCACCTTGCTGAAATTGTGATATACTGAAAAAGAGCAAGGTATAATACGAACTTCACTATATCGTCCCCAAATGTGTTGGGTAAAGCGATCGGTTCCTCCCACATTGCCCCAGGGGCGTTGAAGTCTCCAACAATTACCGCAGTTCCGTTATTCTCTGCTACACTCCTTAGGAATGACAGAAGCTGGCGATCTTCGTCCTGATTCGATGCTGGGCATGCAACCCATGCAACGCATGCAACCCAGTTATCCCTTCCTGGTGCTTTGATGCAACTCGAAGTGGCTTGAATATTTGGCATCACTAGCTGCCCCCCCCCCAGTTAATTACTTATGACCGTTGGCTACCAGCATCATTGCTCCTCCGCAACTCCGCCCGTCACTTCGATATGCCCTGTAGGTGCAGTATCGCCCGCGTTTCTACCTTTGTATCTTGATGCAGCCAGGTTTCCGTCATAGCCCTCAACACGGGTTGATGTGGTTTTCCTCAGGACGGGGCTAAATATTTCTGCCAGGCTGCGTCTGGCTACACTTGCATATGTCTCGCCAAGACTAACAGCTCTGGGTGGCATGAGTGTAGTATCTATTCGATTGACACTGACTCTTGGTGATTCACTGGTTTGTGTCGACCTCAACTGTGTCTCGCTCCTGACATTCAAACGTTCTCTCTGCCCAATGGCAAGGAGACCCAGCTCTACCGAGATTCTCTCTGCCGTTGCCGTTTTCACTGCTCCAGCGGCTGCCGGGAACTCGTCCTTATACTTGGGGTTCCCGAACTCCACTGGAACCGGCCTGGCAGCCCCTTGGGTACCGCTTGGCTTACCGGTCCACCTACCTAACCTGAACACTCTTCAGGAGAACGTGCCCTGGTACGCCTGCCATTCTCAAGAGATTATTGACGCTATGTCTTAGATTTCGTTTTCTCTGGCGTCCGACTAATCATAAGGGTTCTGCGGTGCCTATTATGACGATATTCCTGTGTCTGCCGAGGGTGATTTCACTGCTGGCCTCCAGTCTAAGCATGTTCTTGGTTAAATGACTCAACTCTTGCTGAAGCTTCACCAGCTTCCCTTCCTGCTTCTTCGTTCGAGCTACTAAAACTTCAATATCCTTCTGAAGCTTATTCGAAGCTCCTCTACTATGCGACACCTCTTTATCAGCTGCAGTGTAATTTCTGCATCGTATCACTGTAGCCTTTATCGCGGCCGACTTCAACGACGCAGAAGCTATCCGCTGGGTCCCCTCCAATAATGCGATTTCTCTACACGTCCTAACACAGGCAGAACATACCCACGTCAGGAAGTTGTGCTCAGTATAGAGCCCGTACGCCCTTATAGGTAGGGCACTACACTTCTGGTGGTACCAACTGCTGCAAACATCGCAAGAAATGCCGTCGAGCACCTCCTGATCACAACCTTGGATCCCACATGGAAACTGCTTCGGTCTAGAAATACAGGTGTTTAATTTCCCTCTTGTTTTGTTGTTCTTAACAACCATTTAGCTAAATGTTGAGATGAGCTACGTTGCGAGAAAACCATGCAACCTAGTAATCCTAGAATTATTAAGTCTATAACAGAATGATATCCTACGAAAACAATACTTATATAATAGTACCTATGCTAGAAGAACTAAGATGAACACTAATTTGAACCCAACAAAGACAAACTTATGAACCACAACAGAATTTCGAACCGCACGCCGTCAAAGTCAGTTCCGGAGGTGGACACCGTCACAGTGTAGTACACTAACGCCTGCAGGGTTACGGAAAAATTGGGAGAGTTGACGACGCGCGCCCAAATCTCGGTGATAATAGCTATCACTGGAACTTGGATGCGGCATGAGCAGGATGCAGAAAAGCCCAGAGACTAGCACTGGTACGCACTGCTAGGCGAGTGTTTATATCGACGGAAAATAGGTCAAAAAGGACGAATGGAAGCGGAAGGCTAAGGATGTAGTTGTGGTACGATAATAATACCAATTATTAATAATAATGAGGGAAGTGAGAAAGTCTCTAGAAAAAGAAGGGGGGTGCTTAAGGGAGGGATGAAACGAGGAAGCAGGGTCCCAGAATCAGGAAAGGTCAGGGAACATGACAGCCCAGCTCTTGTCCAGTCTGGGCTGAGAATACCTCCGCTGGCAGTCTGTCCCATGCATTTACGATCCTATGGGAGAAGAAGTTCGCGCTTATGCTCTTCAGAGTTCTGGGTTTGCTCAATTTCAATCCGTTGCTCTTGAGGGAAGGGTTGTTATCTATGATGAGTAGGAGGCTCCCGTGCTGGTGATTCCTTTCAGGAGCTTAAATGTCTCTATAAGATCCCCCTCAACCTTCTCTTTTGAGGGAGGAAAGCCCTAGTCTCTCCAGCCTCTGTGTCTACGTCAACCCTTAGAGACCCGGGAGAAATTTCATGAATCTCCTTTGTACCTTTTAGAGCATGTTTATG